GGCCTAAGTAATTACCAATACTATTTGGAGGGCCCGAATTGCCTACCAGCTGGCAGCGGTAGGAAGATCTTTGGCCCCAGAACGATTTGCGTTCGCCGGTGGCAGCCATAGCAAAGACTGCTTCTCCCACGTGGCACAGGCGTGCCAGGTCCCAGCGAGCTCGTGCGCGGCATCGCTATCATCAGGGGCAACGGCTGTCGCAAAGCCAATCCGCTGCTCTTTTGCGGCACCACGCCACCACAGCCCAGTTCAGAGGCATCCTGCGCAGACACATGGGCAAGCAGGAAAGGCCATGGCGACAGCAGCGAGGAGATGCCGGCTCAGAGCGATCCTGGGATTACTGGCGTGGCTCCTGGGGCACGCCCAAAGCCAAGGCCAAGTCACAATCTTCGAGGAACACGGCACAGCAACACGCCTTCCCCGCCTACGACGCCTGGCAGGAGGATGCCAGCGGCATCACGGTTGTGGAAGAAAGGAGGACGGCCCCGCCCAAGCCCCCTTCGCTTGTGCAAGTGGTGCAAGGTGCCATCAACTTCGCCAGGAAGTTGGAGAATCGAGTGGCCAAGCTGGAACGCGACCTGGACGAGCGCAAACAGTGCTGGAACAGGTACGTCGCGGGCATGCAGAAGAGCTACCGAGCAGAGAAGGCGCGCTACCAGCAGGACATCAGGAAACTCGAGATGGACCTTGCAGAGGTGGCGGAGAAGCAGCAGGAGACGAGGCGCCAAATGCAGCTGGCAGTGGACAATGGTTTGAAGCTGCCGGCCGCCACGGACGATACAAAAGAATGGGAGCAGCTGATGGAGGCGACAACGCCCGGACCAGAGCACAGCAACCTGGCGCAAGGGCTAGGGGGGCTCATGAGCTGGATACAGGCGACGCAGGCTGCCCAGGCTTCGGAAGGACAGCCTGTGCAGCGGATCCCCACAACGCCTCAGCATCGACCGCAGTTCGGACTGCCAATGACGCCGCCAGCCACAAGCCCCCAGACCGCAGTGGATCCCTATATGCTGTCGCCCAGTACCACTTCGCTGATGGGCCATACGACTGCGCCCTCGGCAACAGTGCCGAGCAAGAACGAGCCGGCAGCCGAGGTGATGGGACCCCGGCCCCTCTCCACATCCAGACCAGGTCAGCGACCTCCCGACATGCCGCGTGTGCCTACATCGACTACTCCGCCCAGACAGAACATCAAGGAGGCCACCATCCATGCACCTGCCACGCCCAAGACACCGAGCACGGTTTCCCTTGGAGACAAGCTCGAGGCCAAGAGGCTCAAAGAGATGGGGCCCGACCCCCACTCGACGGCAGACAGTACGAATCATGTACAGGCAGGAACACGGCCTACTTGCGAGGTGGATCGTGGGCCGTCCCCTGTCCCCCATCCGAGTGCACAGCGGCTTACGGGCGAGAATATATCCTTGGCCAACCTGGCCTTCGTCGAGGACGACGACGAGGACATGGACGACCTCTTTCAGGAGGATGGGGAGTTGCGCGAAGTCAACTAATGACGCCGAACAGGCACTCCTCTGAATGGGGGGAACGGCTCTTCTTTGATCGCCTTGGGAGGCCCGGGTCTCAGGCATGCCACTGGTTTTGGGTTCCAGTCTGCATGCCTTGCCCCAAGCACCACCTCGGGCAAGATCGGTCGAGCATGTTTCCCTTCCATGCAGAGGGGATGCCTTTTCCTTCTCACCCTTTGTACAGTGTGAGTTTCGTAGCGTCCAATTTCCGGAGGCTGAGGGTCTTGTTACTTCCTCCCATCCATATGTCTTCCTCGGCCCTCTTCTGGGAGCTTTGGGTTTTGGCTTCCCCGGAGATGTGCCCCCGCCTCGGGTCTCTGGCCCCTGTGAAGATGGCTGCTTACAGCCCTCTCTCTTCGCTCCTGGCGCCCCCATGGCATGCAGGCAGCTGTGCTACATTTGAAAGAAGCCTTCAGGGTTTTTTGCCTGTACATTGTCGCGCACCTAAGAAACGTATCGGTGGTTCGGGGACGTTCGCCGATGATGTCAGGCAGGCCCTGTCTTCAAGACCGGGTGGATCGTATGAATCCTACCTCATGCTTTGGCTCCTCAGGGCAGGCTTTTTCTGGGTACCTCTGTTTCGGAGCCTCTTTGCCATGTTGACTGCCGCCCTTCTTGGGCTCCTTCTGCGTCCGACAGGCTGCCGAGCCTCCCCCTTGGGCAAATTTTGTTTGCTGCCATCGACAGGTATGCCGCTGCAAATTGTTACAGGCTTCGCCTGCGTCAGTCCTAGACTTCGGACTAACCCTCCCAGGTCTGCACAACGATTGATTGTAAGAAAGACATCGCGCCATGCCTTTTGCAGCCTGCGTTCTTTCCCATGCAGCCTTATTGCCTTTTTGCTGTGGAGCCTTCCTTGCCAAATTTGGGCAGCTCCTCCGGGTCTCCGCCCAGCACTTGCCACACTGGAGACTATTGCATCTTCCTTGCCAGAACCTCTGGCCGTAAGGGGCCCAACCAGCCCGCCCGAATCTACAGGCCACGGCACAGCCGCACAGGACGATGAGAGGCCACATGTTCCCTTCATCTTGCCGTCCTGTACTTCATATACGCTTCCCCTATGTGTTGCCGACTGGATAGGCGTTACCGTTTTTGCGATGGGCTACAGGCCTGCCTGTCTTGCTTTCCCTTGCAGTACAGACCAAGATGCTGAGAGCCTGTCGCGAGCTGTCACGGATTGGGTGCAACATACTAGGCCAGGCTTACATCAGGCAGCGGCCGTTACGCCTCAGAGATTCGGTGACTATGCCGCTTTCGTCCTGTACTCGGAAGCCACGGTCCAAGCTGAAAGGGTTTCCGTGATGGTTGACCTGTCGAGGGTCGGAGGTCGCTACTATGCCGCTGTTGTGCCGGCTTTTCAGGCAGCTTCCGACTTTCTCGCCGAGATTCTGCCGCAGACCCGCCAAGAGGACATGGAGCTCATGCTTTGGGTTGGTACTAGGCAAGGCCCGTGTCAGCCAGCTGAGCTCGTGCACCCACGGCCAGGTGATGTCTTGCTCGTGTTGTGGGCAGGACAACAGCCCCATGCACACATAGGTATAGATGATCTTTTCGGACCTAGTGCATCGCGTGGTCCGTTGGAACACATACCTAGGCACACCAGATCCCCGGGTGTCCTTGTTTTTTACGGCCAGGAACAGTTCGTTTTGCATCCGACGCTGTTTCCCGGCCTGGATATTCAGGCCATCCTCAGCCAAGTTCTACGAGTGCCCGCCTCGGATCTTCACATTGACATGAGCTCAGCCATCACGGACCTCGAGTTCCAGGGTGATCATGTTGTCACCGTCATTCGAGCCACTGCCCCGCACAGACGGTTTGACAGCATAAGTATACTGTGTGATGCAAGACAGATAGGACAGGGCCTTCGCTTTCTGGACCTATCTGCACCCGTATCCCGGCATGCTGTCCTTCATGCCCTAGGACTCGTGGATATGACACACTTGTCGTTCCGGGTTGGACCCTATCCGTCGGACCTGCATCCGCATGCCACAGCAGCCTTACCAGTTATACGGATCTGGAGCACGATCAATGGCGCGGACACTCAGCAATTGCGTGCTGCTTCGGGTCCTAGCTTAGTCCATAGGCTTTACTTTGGCGATCCGGATCCTGTCTTCGAAACAACGGGAAATGTTGACGAAGAACCTGAGCTCCCGCAACAAGCTGCACGTACCTCCCCCCAAGCCGCGCATCACGGGGACCCATCGGAAGATGAATCAGAGAATTCCGAAGTGCTGCATGCCAAGTTTCTTGTTCTCAGGCCCGATCACATTCCGGTTGAAGTACAGATCGACATTCAGGTACCAGCAACCATTCGAGAAGCGCTCAACGCGGTGTCCTTGTGTATGTCGGAGGAAGACTACAACATGTATCCCAGCCTCGTTGCTGTCCGTCCACAGCTTGACACTGCATGGGGCACTGCTATTGCATTGCCTACTTGGGCAAGCAATGAGCTTATCATTGTCATCGATTTACGTGCACACGATGGCAGGTTCTTTGCAAAGCAGGTTTCACATGTCCTGACCAGAGCCCAACTCTGTGCAGCAGCCAATGTGCCAGATGACGATACCCTGCATGTGTTCCCTTTCGGTCTAGGCAGGCCCCTCCCGCCAGACACAGAGGTTGAGGCCACTACAGGAGGCAGTGTTGCCTTTGTCCCTGCGGGACAACAGCCAGCGCAACGAGGCTTCTTGTCAACCATGCTGGTCACCAGATACGGTTGGGACCCTGAT